AGGGTTTAGCGTTTAGGGTTGGGGGGTTTAGAGTTTAGGATTTAGGGCCAGTTTAGGGTTTAGGGTTTGGGGTTTAGGGTTTGCGGTTGAGGGTTTATGTTTTAGGGTTTGGGGTTTAGGGTTGGGGTTTAGGGTTTGGGGTTTGGGGTTTAGGGTTTAGGTGTTTAAGGTTCCGGCGACATCGAGCAACCTTGCGTGCAACACCCGGTCTTAGACTTAAGTGTGTCCCTATCCCACTAAATTCCAAACCCTAAACCCTAAACCCTAAACCCAAAACCCCAAACCTAAACCCCAAACCCTAAACCACAAACCCGAAATCGTAAGCCCTAAACCGCTCAAGGCTCGGTGGGGCCGCAACACGGCACACCCAGTACAGGAGACCGGGGCGAGGGATCCCTGAAGTGCCAAACTTCCGAACTTCTGCCTACTACGGTTTAGGGTTTAGGGTTTAGGGTTTAGGGTTGTTTAGGGTTTAAGGTTTAGGGTTTAGGGTTTAGGGTTTATCTAAAGTAGAACCCATGGGCCCCTAACATGGGCCCTTAGGGGATTCTAGGGTCCCTTAAGGGTATATATAAGGTATATAGTAGGTATATTAGGGTNNTAGGGGCCCATGGGTTCTACTTTAGAGTTTAGGGGGCCTGAATGATTACGAAGAGTTGTTTTAAAGGAAACCACAGGTGGGGAGTTTAGGGTATATAAGGCTTCTATAAGGTATATACTTCTATAAGGCTCCTAAAACCGTAGCTACCCACCTGAAAATGTCCTGGATTGTTTGGTGGCAAAAGCCTTTATGCTTATATAATTATGTAGGAGATATCAGGGCAAATTCTGAGCAATTGCTCCCCTAAACCCTAAACCCTAAACCCACAGCCCCTAAGCCGAAATCTTCGACAGCCTTCAAACAAACCCCAACCCTAATGTAGGGGCCTTTATAACTAGAATAGGGTTTTGGGGCCCATTATAGTATAATTATGGTAAGAAACCCCCAGAATAATATTGATAACTACTTAGGACCCTACATTACAGGGTCTAAGGTTTAGGGCCTAAACCCTTCTCCAGCATGGGCTTGGATTGTGTGCCAGCAAACATCCCTCAACAGCAGGGCCTTCTCATTTACCGAGGGATGCAACCGCAGGAGTGACAGAAACACAAGAACGAAGCGAGTAGCGACAATCTTCCGAACTAAACCCTAAACCCTAAACCTTACATCCTCATCCCCGACCTCTACAGCCTCTCCATGGGTAGTTCTCTAAGTTCGGGTCCCGTTTTACGCGGTCCCCCCAAAAGTAGTACGGCGCGCTGATCAAAGGGACCCTAATTCAGAGAACTACCTATAGTACCCTCAAAGAAACCCTTTTAGATCCCGTTAAACAACGGATACTAATTTGGAGGACTACTGTTGTCCTGCATTGCCCTAAGGACCCTAAGCTACGGGAATTATGGCATATCCCTTGTTATGGGTAATGCAGGATTTATATCATCAACCGTACTACATTCCTTGTTATGGTTGATGCAGGACTTATATCATCATCCGCACCCCTTTATCTCATCAACCCTAAAGAATTACCAATACCAATTTCAGGTTCCTTACTATAACTATAGTATAAGGGAGTTTGCGAAAATAAGGGGTACCTTATTTTGGGGTCCTTATAATAAGGATCCTACTATTTAGGGTACTATATTAGGGTCCCCTTTTGTCGGAAACCCCATAAATGGCCCCAGAACCCATCTTTAATTATCAAGATCCCTATATTATCTTTTTCCCCAACCATTTATACTGATAGTATTTACAATGGGCCCACAAACCCTATTCTAATAATTAAGGCCCCTAAACCCTAAACCCTTATAGTAGCCCTTATAGAACCCTTAAAAAAAAACCCAAACCCCATTCTAATTATTGAGGACCCTATATTACCCTATATTATAGTAACCGAGAAACTGCGGCACATCCAACGGAGAAGGCTGGCTCCGTCGCCTCCTTCGCTTCGAAGCTTTTAGGGTTCCTTTGTGGCTTAGGGTTTAGGGTTTAGGGCTCCTAAAAGGGCGGCTCTAAGGGATCCGATAAAGGATAGGCTATCATCGCTCGTCTGAAGGGTTTTGATGTTTTTGTGGGTCCCTCAAACCCTAAACCCTGAACCCAAAGTGTTCTTTTAAGAGATTCCTTTCAGGATCTATGAGGGTTCCCTCAAGAGCCTTGTCAAAGCCACTTTGAGCGCTGAGGAATGTGCGGCTGATAGTTCGGGCTTAGAGCATTCAGCCGTGGAGTTTGGGGGGTCTTATATAAGAACTTTGAAACAGGCTTCCGGGGTGTAGTTTTGTCTTGGGATTGCTGGGGCGTGTAGGGCTTTCGACGGGGTTTCGACTCGCACGCTCGCACAAGGCAGGCACGGATTCCAGGCGACAAGTCCGACTTCAGGCCACTCACAGCATCGGCAGGGGACGAAAGATACCACATCACACCCACCTCTCACCAATCATGTAAAGACCTAAGACCATCATTAACCATCCATGCTGAAACCGTCATCCTCCAGCGAATGCACAAGAGCCAGCAGGAGCTAGGCTAACCATCAAACAACCAACGAGTAACCATACGTACGATCTACAACCCGGCCAACAAAATACCGCCAGTACCACCTGCTAAAGAGTCCACAACCAGGAGGCACAGTGGGCTCCCCATTACATTAAGTGCGCAACAAGGAACTATATGAGGCAGAGTCACTACGCACAGACACGGCTCTGGGTGCAGCTCCGCTTTTGTTTGCTTCCACTTGATGCCTTCAGCTGGTTTTGGGCATAATTTACCTAAGAGCCAGTTTGCCTATGTGGGTAGTTGTCAAAATTATGGTCCCTTTTGGGGTACCCTAAATAGTAGGTGCCATATTATAATAAGGACCCAAAAAGGGACCATAATTTTGACAACCACCCATGTAGCAAGTTGCTGGGCCATGGGTGCCCAGGCCTTGATGCTTGACTCCCCGCGGTAATCCGTTACCGCCAGAATTTTGAGTTTACTTTAAACATTCCAATGCCTAAATATGCATATATATATATATATACATAGGTAGATATGTGTGTGTACATATGACTAACTGTAGGTTTGTATATACACACACACAGCATAAATCAGCAAACACAAGTTCATTGCTCTTGAAGATTGAGGCATCCACGTTCACAAGCTCATCCACGAAGGATACAAACTGAACCTCGCCGACACACTTGTTTCAGGAGGCTGTCCCTACCTAACCATGCACAGTAGAGTAACACATCACAGGCCACTGGGCTTCTATGATTACTTCGACCCACACATGTGTACATATATGTATGTGTGCATATATATATATATATGTGTGTGTGTGTGTATACATCACACACACACACACACCAAAACCCCAAAGCCAAAGTAAGGGACCGGAGCAATCTGAGCTCCTCGGCACCCATCCGCCGGAGCAGCATCATCTTCCTGAGCACGGGAAAACTCCTTCCAGTCAAGCTGCAGGGTTTACACTCTCACAACTCGGACAAGCCAGGCGAGGATAGGTGCACAAGTCAGCGAGCTGCAGGGTTTAGGGTTTAGGGTTTAGGATTTAGGGTTTAGGGTTTAGGGTTTAGGTTTTCGGGCTTCAGACTTAGACTGGATACCAGAGCTGGAGCAAGACCAGTAAGATTCCGCCAGAGTGACCATAGAGATAAACAAACAACTTAAATGCAAAAACACTTTTTTAAGTTTCTATGGGGGGGGGGGGGGGG